GAGACGGGAAACTCGGATCGACATCAGCACTGTCGTACCACAGTAACGGCTTTCAGACTCGTAGATGCTGAACAAGACGTAAGCGACGAGGATGAATCACATCCCCTTGAAGGGTGCTGGTGGAGCGTCTTCGCAGAGAACCAATCCAGTGCCGCTCGATGGTCTTCGTAAACGTCAAAGGTGCACGCTCGGCGCTCGCTGCCTCCAACCACGTAGGGAACTCCTGAGGAGAATTCGACATCGCTACTGGCTCAAGTGACGCCGGACATCTGAATCAGATGATCTGATGCAAGCCTACTTCATCAAGCCTCTTGCGGATAGTCCTCTTAGCCGCTCTAACACCGAGGGGGCCGTTGGCAGCGATGGTCGAAGCTAGCTCTAATGATACGTTGAAAACCTGCTTTGTGAAATAATTCGAGGATAAGGATCGAGTGAACACCCCACCTCCTCGGGACTATTACTCTCGGTCAACCTGTTGACTAACCCCAAGTTCGACGCCTCCGAGCCAGGTACTGGACGAGAGGTGTATATCTGTTGTGCCGCAGGAATACAGAACCTACTCCGCCGGCCTCACCATATCCATTGCAGTAGCGAGCGGTAAGATGAGCGGGAGGAGGACGCATCCACCGACACCTGGGATGAGGCCCAAGGCTGTTTCGGGTAATCTCAGGATGGTCCCAGGGGATGCCACACGTAACTATGCACAGCCGAGACGCTGACAACTACACAGGAGAAACCATGCAGCCGGCTCACGTCACAAGCAAGAGTGAATTCGAGTCCGCCGCCCATCGCGTGACCATGTACGGCCGCGACGACCGGCATGGGCAGTCCGAGAATGGCCTTAACGCCCTCCTTCATGGCTAGCAAGTACCTTAGCAGGATGGTAATAGTTTTCTCAGAGAGTCGAGTGGTCAATGTGAACGCAGAGTTTTTCTCTACTCGTTCGCCTGATCTGGTGTGAAGCTCCGGGAAGCTTTCAGATCCCTTCCTGCACAAAACGATTTACCTTCACCGGAGAGAACAATGGCTCGACATTCACTCTGAGGTAGCTCCGAGATATACTGAAGCGAAAAGATGCCACCGGAATTTAGCAGCTGACTGCACACCTTCGTGGCACGCATGAGGTCCGCCATCATTTCCAGAGTAATCGCATTACGGACCTCAGGCCTGTTGAACGCTATGTTGTAAACATGGTTTCTGCCTAGAAGATTATGTTTCAAATGAATACAAGCGTATTGCCTTCACCTTGAGGGGCCTTGCGGAGTAATACTTGACCAGAAGCCAGACCGGCTGCAGCCGTGAGTGATTCACTGAGACGGAGCCTCGCTACAGAAAGCATGAGAATTACTATCCAAAACACTGAGGGATAACGTTTCTCGAAAGTGCAAGGAAAGTAATACTTTCAAAGTATAATGAGAGAGGTAGTTAAGTTCTAGTCCGCTGTAGTGGCTCCTGGCTAATCGGTCAGGCGATGAGGAGAAGCATAGTGATCCGCAGCAGTGAGACGGGACACGCCCATCGGATTGTGTAAATCTGATTCCTGGTCACTAATACCTATAAAATAACCGTTACATCAGTCCTCGACTAAATTTGAGACCTCTCATCAAACGGAGAGCAATCACTCATTGGAGTTATAATATCCAAGCATGCCCACTGCCATCAAGGAGAACACGGTGCCGTTGCTCTAAAGTCAACACATTGATCTAGGTTCGATCAATGTGTTCCATCATCGAACCAAGAGGCGTCTAGTGCGTCGCCAGACTCGGATGAAGAAATACTTGGAGCCTATTGCAAGTGATACGTACTGATGTAAATGCGTACAGATGTCGATACGTACGGATATGAATACGTGCAGATGTAAATACGTGCAGATGTAGGGCGATGGGCAAATTCTCCATCAATTCCGAAAGAAACTCAAAACATCTCTGCAGCTGCACTCGGCGAGTGCAGCGGGAGCCCATTTCCTCTCGCAGAAGCTGTGGGAGTCATCACGACTCGTGATTCACGAGACGCATGATGATCCTTGCAAGCGATGCCCCGCTGTATAGATGTGCGGGTTGACGTTTCGAGCTTCCAAAGTCTCAATTACGGTTCAGGAGCGTGGGAAATCACGTAATTCATAATTCGTATATTACATGATTTCGTGGATTACAAAAGCATTCCATGGAATTTACGGTTAAATACAATGACGAAATTCCCACTATACGCGAGGACTCCGTGTTGGGGGGAGGGAGGGCGTAAAGCACTGAACTACTCAACATGGAGGTACAACGTTGAGGACTACCACTGGGCCTGAGTCCTCTGGTCAGAGAAACTGGAGAGCCTCAGTTCATTGAAACCTGTAACGCGTTGTAAACGAGTCAATCAGATCGGTCTGGCTGATATGCCGTATACATTATAGTAAAGCTTACGTATTATATACATATTCGGGAGCTCGTCTTGCTCCCTGAGAAAGGGGGCTGAATCCAACCGTACCAGATCTCATACTGTGGGCACGATGCCTTTCACGTGATTCGCTCATCTTCAACTGTAGTCGCATTCGATCACACTTGCAGACGATAGACGAATACGATCGACCAGCGAAGGCGTATTTCCTGAGAAAGTTGATACGCAAACAATGACGTAACAAATCCTACCTGTATCGATGGGACCGGATTACTTTGGTCCAGTTCTTGCCATACCGACGATGAGCTCTCTCCAAGTCATACTCTTCCTCGAACTATGAAAATGACGGCTCTCAATGGATGCAATGCGGCGCCGTGATTCACTCACCGACCAGGGCCCCTCTTTGATACCGCAAGCATTAATTCGCTGGTCTTCGAACATTCGCGGCTCTGAGGGGTAAGCTGCGAACTCTGTTTTTCATCACCGATAATGATAACGGCTCACCTGGTACCCAACCGAAGACATGCCCCTCTGCCTCGTCCAATTCGGCTCGTGAAGATGTTGCTGATGATGCCGTTGATTGCGAAGATGATGATGTGGTCGATCTCAGCGATGCACCCGGTTGCCTGTTCCCTATGGAGTACTTCTATTGTATATCAAGGAGGGCCGCTGTATGGAGTACTCACCACGTATTTGCTCCGCATAATCATCACCCACATCAATCGTCCTCGTACTCCGAGGCTCTACTGACAGTTCCGACGGGGGATGGTCCCCAGAGGAAGACATTCAGACGACAAGTAATAACAGATCACAACTCATGAGAAAGCGTGTTGAAATTGGGGGTTTGGATTGACACGAGTTCGGCCTGTGCAAGCCGTTTACTAGAATCAGCAGGAACATCACCACTCTTAGAAACTCGACGGATGCTGTGACAATGTCACAGTGACATAGGAGAAGGGAATTGGAAAGTTGGACCGGAAGGCTTGAGTAGGAAGAGTAGGTATTAAAATCATCATTACGTCAGTCTGTGTCAGAGAAATCGAGTGACCCAATTATTGCCTCCACCCTCCAAGTGGAGATAAGGTAATGAGAACGTCACGGACCAGTGATCAACGAGACACATCGACTTGGCAGGGTAACATGCAATTCTCTCGAGACATACCGTCAGGACCCTACCACGAGCCGTGAAAAATCCGGAGCATCGTAGGTCTCATGATTCACATTATGCGAATCGCAAAGCTAATATCAGTACTTCAAAAACGCAGTGATAGTAAATGCATGACGTCCTACTATATAGCCGTTTTGCTGAACAGTAGCAGTTGGTTAACTTTGATGACTAACAAGCTCAAAGACAAACCACGTCATGTGATTCCAAAACAAGACCAGTGCAACGAACATCCTTCGATAACAGGACAGCAGCACCTCCCTTGAACGAGGATTCGAAAGGAACAGTGCACCATCCCGCTTGGTTGAGACTTTCAACCTTTGGAAGGCAGAAACGGAAGTTCCTTAGTAAGGACTCCTTACCACTCCTTGAAAACATCTGGCTGCTCCCAAGTTGCATGTAACCACTTGGACACAACAACAACAAGTCGTGAATCACATTGATATTGAGAGATGTGACAGACGTACGAGATTGACGATGAGTTTAAATGTTCATAGCAAAAGTACGGTATCATACCAATACCATAACAAAATCGGAGCCAGCTGCATATGAGCAACTGATGAGCTCGACAAATTTTACCAAGACGATGTCACACTAATCACCGTCATAATCCGTCCATGCTGCGAGTGTCTTCTGCTGCTCTGTGTTTCGAATCTATCTCTTCCTCGTTTTTCACTTCTTCTCTCACCAAATTATCAGCAGAGCTACTCCGTCTCACTGCTGGTCGCTCATTTAGGACACTGCTGCGTTTTCGGACGAAATGTTGGCTTAGGAGTATCCTCTGCTGCTGTCGAATAAGCTAAGAACAGAATCAACATTATAGCATGTTGAACTAACAGGCGAGACCAGGCCACAAGTATACGATCATAATGAGCGTATGTATATTAAAATCTCTTCCGCACGGTGGAAAATACCAGTCTTCACATTTCACATCGAAAGCCTCACAATTAGTGTGACACTCCTAAAGGTGCCTCACCCCTTCCAGACTTGAAACCCAACTGACCTGTTGAGCATAAGCTCCTCGGCCTTGCACCTTGATAGAAGAAGCTCTTGGTCCTGCCTTCTCGAGAAGTCTTGGTTGTCGGAGTGTTGGTATCGATAATGGCAACAAACCTGTCTGCTTGTATTTCACTGCTTCATTATATACCGGACGACTAATCATAATACATCGTACCTGACAACTTACCTTAATAAAGAACCACGAACATCCTACAGTATACACACACACAAATGAACGAACAACAGAGAGAAATACTTTTCACATATAGTACAAGTGTGAACCGTTCAGCATCGGTACACCTCTTAGTTGCGGAGCAAAGTTTATATTGCAGTTGGCCGCGGTTTGTGCGAATGCGTACGAACGCGAGCACAGATCCCGACACAATCACGGCCATTTTCTTAAAAATCACAGTACCCTTTCCATACTACTTCTCTATATAATCGACTCTGAATATTGCAACTCAATAGAAAGATTCCGAATGTGCACACACCATCTTCACTAGCTCAGTAGGTCAAGGTTCCGAGCTGTCACCCGAAACCACTCCGGATCGAATCCCCCATCCCACTACTCTATGAGCTTGCAAATAAAACTTTCTAACTATCACATAATCTTCGCCATTTCGCACCGAAGATCTAGTAACTCATAGGAACGAGTATAAGCCTCCAAATTTCCAATCCATCGCGGCATGGTTTTGGCATACACCCATCAAAAACATGATACTCACTTTTTCACTGCCGACTCGAGCGGAAAAGTCGGGAGTGTATCCGTTGTCAAGGAGCGCTTCTACCGCCAACACAGAGAACGCGCCGGCCTCAGATCTGAGATACAGAGTGCTCCAAAGAATGTGCTATTGCCTGGATGGCACAAGGCATCATGGAGTATATTTGAAATTCAAATATACCATTGAAAAGCGCTCGCCAAGATCTTTCTAATGAGCTACCTCTCACTGGGAAATTCGGTGAATTCTGCAAGTTACCGACAATACCACATTTTATTTGGCGACACCCTGTACTAACATTATGAACGGTGATCAGCAATGATACCAAGCTGATCTATTCCCAATGGCGCGCATAAAGACACACCTTAGAAAACAAACGATAGGAACGTAGCAAGTCATTTTATATACTTCATAAAAATCATCTCAATAGTCAACAACAAAATGTATAAATAAAGGTATACTACTACCTGAATTTATCATGACCAGCAAGTACTGCAAGTCGGCCTGTAAGAACTATACAGCAAACATCCGTCTCCACTCCTCGGTGGTAGATACACAAATCGTCCCTAAAACCCCATACACCTTACTCTGCCCACAGAGAGGGAGATATCACTCACCCTTCAAAAGAGCGAGGAGAATTGCCACCACTACCCTGGCCTAGCGTGCTTTCTATTCGTATAGCTGCGTTCGTATCGAGTAGTCTCATCTTACTAAGATGTTGATTGTCATAAGTATGCACCTGAGCATGGGCAGGAAAGTCGATTCTTATTGAAGACATGCTTATTCTCATGTTTCGATACCGTTTTAACCAGCGTAAAATATTCCGATCGATTGGCGTTCATAATCGATACGATATTAACATGCCATAAAATCATAATTCCAAAGAATTCCAAGGTCGCGAGTAAAGCTATGAACAAGAAGAGCATTTCATTGGAGGGCGCGCGTCACCTCAGCATTTTGCAGCATCCACTCCACACTTTTTTCGTCCAGATGCTGCGATAAACTCGGCTGATTATGCAACTGAGGAAACGAACAGGAATAAGACAAGAATTAACAAGAGCGATAATTAGTGACAATTTTGGTATTTGTTGATTAAACTTACCAAATGGAGAGATAGAGCTCTTATCTCATCAGCGGTCAACGGCTCCTCTAGCAGCTGTGCATTGAGTAAGCGAAGACGCTGCTCATTGAGGCCCGAGCGGTCACCAGGAACTTCAACACGATTATCGACATCTACGTATCTATCATAACCAACTCCTGCAAATACACAACAACAAAAAATTATGAAAATCTATAGGATCAATCTCAAGTTCACCAAAACTCTACTATTCAACGCGCAATCTCCTACACATCAGTTTCGTCTATAATCTCTTCTTGTATTATTTCCTCCACAATATCTTCCAAAGTGAGCACCCCAACGAGCTCGATATCAGGATCATCACGGCCGTTCTCCATCATGCTCGAGGACTGATGATGACCACCATAACCATCATAGGACAACTCAGATTCTCTTTACTTGGGTAGTATTCGTTCCTCCACTGTTGTATTTATGTAGAGCAGGAGAGCCTACCAAAACAACACTTCCTCCGACATCAAGCAAACACCTCCTCAATGCTGAATACGTGTGCACTAACAATTACATATAGCTATGATCATAATATCATCTGGCAGGATCAGAAATCAACATCCAGGCGATCTCACCTCCTCGTAAAAGCAACGTTAAAAACTCTGTATAAAGCGATCAATATTAATATACTTATACCAATATACAGCAATGGAGTTTCACCCGTTTTACGTGAAGTGGCGTAAAACTCGGTGAAAAACTCGCGAAATTCGCGCTATGCAGTGGTCGCGAAATATATTTTTCACTAGTGTTTTCCATATCACTAGGGTGAAACTCCGATAATTCCAGGATGATGTTAAAACTATATATACTTATGATATACATAAAACCATATACGACCACCGACACCATTTTCTTACCTTTTAAACTTCGCTTAGCAGACCGTCCAGTGTCTGCCGGTGCAACCTGACACAAAAACTTGTCTCCGATCACAAGAATCCCTTCCCACCTTTCTGACCAATCCCATATGACTACCACCCGATCTGAACCTTCTGAACGCACTGCTAACACTCTGATTCTCCTCAAGCACTTCCATAGAGCGAGCAAAGATCTGCAGGAATGCTGATAGTGGAGTAGCGTCGTCCGGATCCACAAGAATGAGGTCTTTCGTGAAGAGCACCCCTACAGAGAAACAAACCAATACTGTGAATATCACTGCTCGCTAAAATACCTATAATATATTACTATGAAATCAAGTTGTTCTCTACCAAGGACGAATCACATATTCCAGATATGTAATTGCGGAGCGAGCGGAGCGAGCGGAGCTTATGTTGCTGCGCACCAACACTCGTGTCCGTCCGTGAGTGAGTGAGCAAGAACTCCGACCGGACCAGGGCGATTCAGAAGACAAACAGGGTATCATTCCGTCCCCCGTTGATTGCTCATCAGCGAAAAAATATAACGAAGGTATGACTGTTGCTTCGCCCGCTCATTTTCGCCCGCACAAGCGATGAACTGTTAGTTCAGCACATTATGATATGGATTTCAGTCAAAGGTGTCTATAACAGAGGCCAGGTTGGAGACCTATGCGTCGCTCCGCTGCAAAGATCCAACCACGACATGAGCAGATCCTCCTTGCACTCATGCATCACGGCATGGTCACTGTCAGAAGGAGATTATCTATTTTTCCCAGTTCCACTACTCCCGGGAGTAAATTCCAGCACTGTCCGCAAGCTCACTAGGTGTTCCCGAGTCGGCTCTACTCTGGGTGGGACATTCAACAGATCGATATTTCAAGTTTCCCGGTTTTTCAGCGTTTTCATTTCCTCATCTATTTTGAATACTTTGAATCGATCACTCGAGTATTGCTCTCCGAACTGTTCCATAGAGTAGCATTTCATAAAAAGATACATACAAATACTGTACATTTAATATATAAAACAGTCGATATTATATATCATCAATACTCGAGTGATATGAAAAATACTGGTGGAAACCATTTTCCATGGACCACCGCATACCGCGCATATCAGACCTCCACAGAGTATTACTCCACTTCACGTAAACCGGGTGTTACATAGACATTATCATCAAAAATATATCTATGTTAGCACCAGATGTGGATTGATACAAGGACTTAACCCACACATGCATAGAAAACACATCGGGCTCGTTACGATCAGTCGCACTCAGCGTATGCACATAGTCAACTACATGTGTTGCTAGGAATATGGAAATTTGGAGGAAATTTCGAGAAATTATCGTTGATTTTTGTATACTTATACCCAAAATCGTGTGATTCTTCATAGTATAGTGAGCAAACCTACGAGCCCAGTTGAGGAAACCAAACATATATTCCCATACTGCTCGCAGTAGTCGGGCGAAATGCTTTACATAGATATTACCAACGATGTTGTTCATCGTCCCGCTGTAGACCGGTATACGGGAGAATCCACATTGGAAAATCTGCGTAACAGTCTTATAGTCCAAAACTGCTTCTATAGGTAGCATAAACACATCTTCAACTGGAGTCATAATCTGATAGAAAAAATGTAAAATTGACCATAACACCAACACTACTACTGGCGACCTCACCTGAGAGACCTTCATCTCATGCAGAGTCTTCAAAGCTCCTTGCATCACTTTGCCAGTCTCGTCATCTAGGGCTTTCTCATCGACATGAATCGCCAACAATTTCAATAACTCCTGAGGAACATCACCAGTGCGAGGAAATATGCACATGGTCAAACACATGTGTTGGTGACACTATGAAAATTCTGAGGAAATTTTGGGAAATTGTAATCGGCTCGTGTACATTTTTACCCAAACTTCTACGATTAGTGAGAAAATGACCATATATTTCAACACTGATATGAAAAATAGAAGCACGATCGTTCCCTCCAACGACGAGCACTCAACCGTTCACACTAGTATGGGAAAAATCTGCACACGCCCAACTGAGATATGAAAATTTTGACAAAAAAATTCTCATTGGTTTCTGTATAATCCTACCCGAATTCTTATGTGAAACTCTTGAGCTCAGCTGAAGAAAATTGAACATATATCCCAACACAGCTTCACGTTAAACAGAGAAGATGAAAACAAGGCCGTCCAAGAAAAAAGGCTACTACAAAGGTAAATTTCAAATCACATCGGGCAACAACCCTTACACGTTCCATACTCACCGAGCGTGAATGTATAGTACCAACATCACGGCCCAGGATACAATCTAACGTCAATGCTATAGGCCTGAATAACACGTATAAAATAATCCTTAGAATTCTTCATATGCTCACTTAGCGATCGGATATAGCAGGACAATGCAAACTCGCACTACCGGAACCGCAAATCCGCCAATTTTCAGAGAATATCGCGAACACAGCGCCTGATAAAAATCATTCTTATGAGAAAACTCAACCACGCGCAAACCTGCGGCAGTATCTCGCCGAAAAGCAGGATAATTGCAGTTGAAATGACGAAGCCCAAAAGGCCACCAGTGATGTCGGCCATAATAATAGAAAGTAGCGAATTCACCGCAACATTTCCCAATAATAAAGTGCCTGCATACGAGGAAAAACATCAGGTGATATTCCTGGAGTTTAACGCGAAGTGACATATTACTCCATGTTCAACATAAAACGCGACCAACAACACGATAAATTTTCCACGGGAAAATATTGTGAAATACGTTTTTTCATATCACTAGGGTGAAACTCCATTATATGGCTGATATTGTTATGAATACTTTCAGAGCAAACTCCTATTCAAATCGCTTGTACGACGAAGCCTCCCTAGTAATGGAGTGACTCCAGACAGACCATGTTGATGATAATAGCAGCATAGACCAAGACACCACACGGAAGATCCTCACTATCGCACGTCCCGACTAGTGAAACTTAGATTAATATGAAGTAGTTGCAGTTTCACCCGTTTAACATAAAGTGGCGTAATACTCTGTGAAAAAAACGATATTCGCAGCGCTATACAATAGTCGTGAAATATACTCTTCACTAGTGTTTTTCATATCACTAGGGTGATGAGATCGTTTCATAGTAAAAAATGCGCATTCCATAAGTTTTGCATTTCGATGAACTTCATAGCACCCTACACAGCAACAAATTGCCATCCTTCCGTATCGGTATTATCCTTTTCGCATACTTAGCTTGCTTAACGTTAGCGCCTGCCTTGACAATCTCCAGACCAACTTTATCAAGCGATAGAAACCCCAGTGTGAGGCCGGAGAACATCGCTGAGAAGTATCAATTCGATCAATATCTCCAAAACACATGTCGCACTCACGCGCCTCGTTACGAGAAAATCCAAAGTATGAATAAAGTTTATTCATACTTTGGATTTTCTATAATTATATATCTAATAACTATATAATCTATATTTTCTATTTCTAGTTTATTCAATAAACTCCATCACCAACAGCAATGCTCAAATACTAAATTCTTGAACTTTACCATTGGTGTATGGAACAACCATCATCACTGATGATATGTTATTACGTAAAAAGTCGTTGAAAACTCATAAACGCAGTGTTAGAAGAATATATATTCGCTCTCCTCAGCCAAGCTCAGGAGTTTTCTCACTAATAGGACTTTACATACCAATTAGGGTAGAAATATTTAGAAACTATTTAAATTTTCCCAAAATTTCCTCAAAATTTTTTTATTGTCAACAACACATGTAGTTGACCATGTGCTTATCACCCAACGCGAATTTTCTTCCGACTACTTCACAAAAAAATGCCTTTCACAATCCTATGCTTACCAGAGCATAAGACCAGGAGCACAATAAGTGCCCATTTTAGGACTTCATATCCAGCACCGCTGCCATCTAGCATAAAGTATGAATGATATAAACCTCCTATAAAATCGAATTATTTTCCAGTGCTAATTTTACTCCAAGTGTTATAAGAAAATTTCATCCTGAAAATTCAAGTATGTTGCAAATTTACCGGGAAATCCAAAAAAAGGTGTAAAAAAATTTAATCATCTTCGGAAAATTCTTATACAAAATTTCAGGTTGATATCAGCAGCAGTCGTGAAATCGTGAAATTCACGTGAAAGTGCGCGTACAGTATAACGAAAATTTATAATGAAAATCTAAACTTGTCACAGTTGAATTACGTTACTATTAAATCTTACAATAAAAATCAACTCTCAAGATAAAACGACAAAGAGTTTAACAGCAGTGCTGGAAAATATGATCGCGTCCCTCAGCTGAGCTCAGGAGTTTTCTCACTAATCATACACAAGTTTACATACAAAATCGGGTAGGAGTGTGCATGAACAATTTTCCAAAATTTTCCCAGAATTTTATATATCGTCAACCAAATGCATATTTTCCAACACTATTAAGAAGGAGTTGTAAATTGTACGCCAGTGTGGAGAAATATGCACCTAAGCAACCACATATGTTAGTGACAGCGCGAAGATTATGAGAAATTCTTATTGATTTATGTAAACTTATATAATTAGTGAGGAAACTTCTGGACTCAACAACCGAGAAAAGAAAGCATATATTTTAACACTGCTGTACGCCTTCGAAAATATGGCGTCTTATTCTGTACGCCTGATAAAGCAACATCTACTGCAAAAGTACAATTACAGTGCAAAACTATAGCCGTTTTGATCCTTAGAGGTCTATAACACATTCCTCTGAGGCGTAGTATTTTACGGCCCACCAAAATCCCTGAATCACCGTTATTGAATCCTACCAACTCAAGGACAACACTATAATCAATAAGATGCAATTATAGAAAATCTCCAATGGTGAATTAAAATTGGTTTCGTCCTGGCGACAATTTATCAATAGTACGAACTCGAGTGATCTCAGTACGACTCTAAGAGGAATTACTACAGTAACTTCCCAGCCTCGTTGTGAGGATCAATTCTGGTCAATGACCAGTGGTCATCAGTTCTGTGCTTCGCTCCGTCGACTGTCCGTCTATTTTGTGTGACTAATACCGCTCAAACTAAGCTTAACTTAATTTTTATTTACATCATGTATTTAAAATGAATGAAATTTAAGGCAAATCAAGCTTGTGTTTTAATCCCCAACTAAGGTCGCACAATTTTCGTCATGCGTATTCCCCATAACACTGCAAACTCCCGTAAAATACTACTTTTTGTAACCAAGTGAGCTCTTTGAATCTACTGTGGAATGAGTGCAGTTCTGATAGAAAAACCGTAAATTCACGATCCCAGACATACTCAAATTCTCCCAGGTAGAACATTCACGTTAAAATCCTGACAACAGGAGGCAGAAGATAATGATGAATACTCGCATTTCACAAGCAAACTAGTGAGCATCTACTTTAAGTCCGTATCACTCCTTCAAGAGCCCCAGCGATGATTCCTTATACCCTTTCTCACACACAGTCGCGTGCACTGGTTTGGGAGATTTTCCCTCCACTATAGAGGCATTCGACAAGTATATCGGCGTGTTTAACCGACCTCGCCTGAGTGTCGAGAACATTCCCAGGATTAGATTTCACAAATTAAAAGGTAAATCGTAAGGCTACAGGGTACAATCTAAGGACAAAATCTCGCTCGCCCTCGGATACTTTCCAAGGAAAATTCTGCCATTTTCTAAGGAACTTCTGCCTTTTTCTAAGGAAGCCAGCTCTCCACTAATGGGTCCTTGCGGCCTTGTTTCACAACGACGTACTCGAGAAAGTACTCCAAAATAGCAAGAATGTAAATCACATCTGAGGACACAATCGATTAGAATGGCGTGCGCTTTTGTATCGCTCGACGCGTTGTGCGAGAGTGCTATATTGTACGATAATAACAAAATCATTAATGACTGACAAGTTCAATAACGACGTTAGAGCTGAAGTTGGGTGCTCTGATATGTACGGTGACGATGGTGAGGTCACCAGAGGTGTGGCTCTCGACATGGATATACTTACGTCTATTGGGTTGATACCGTCTACTACCGATAAGCAGTTCCCCCTGACTACTACAGGGGTTCATCAGCTAAGTAAGCATGAGAGAGAGGCCCCTGAGGCCCCTGAGGATCCTATGTATGTTTACCCCGCTACGACAATCAATATCACCTCGAGTGACTCCTGTGAAGTTGCTAACGATTTGATCGAGTTCTTCGAAAAGAAATTGGATCTATGCGACTTCGAATTCCACAAGGATCATTTTTGCCTCTGCTCTGAAGTGTACGATAAGAACGGTGACAAAGCCACTGTGAAGGTCCACTTTTTCCGTGTCGGTCGTGACCATGTCAGAGTGTGCTTTCGTTGCCATGGAGGCAGTAGACGGATTTTTAACGAAGTGTATCGACAAGCCACTAAGCATTTCTCCTCCGAGAAGGAACTTGAAGACGAAGAAGAATCTGCGGGAACTATCCCAGAGGCCCCCGACATGGATGACATCAGTGAGAAGGAGCTTTCACCGGTCGTTGAGATGCTCGATGAGTCGTCGCCGCGACTGAGGGCAGAAGGCGCCGGTGCCCTGGCCAGTGGTTGCGGTGAAGTCGCCTCAAGAGCAGTTCTACTCCATAGGGAGGGGATGCTGAGCTCCTTGGTTAACGATCCATGTGTGGCTGTTGTTATTGGGGTCTGCCAGATACTCTTAAACGCTGATTTGACAGACGAATTTTCTGTAACTATGTTATCTAAACAAGAAGTGGTTCCTGCTATATTGGAGGCCCTTGAGAAGTGCACTGACGTTCTCGGTAAAGATAAAACTCGTGCCCGAGTGTTGTCGGCCGCTTTGAAATATTTGGTATGCAACTCAGCTGACCTTGCTCTACAATGCGATGTGGCAATATTGGGTGATGTTCTGAACACAGTCGGTGGTGATACCATCTGCTCTGCAAATCTCGATGAGGTTCTCAAATACTGCTAGGGGCTTTGAATTTGTAGCAGTTCCCAAGTAGTTGTGGGGTGGTGGATTCGTGACCGTTTATGCTCATCATCATCATCGCTGTTGTTTTCACTCATATTTTATTGTAAATCTGTCGGTAAGTGCCCTGCTATCGTCGAGCTATGGTGAGGGTCGCTGAGGTGCGAAGCTATGGGAGTACCGCGTAATTCTGCAGCTAACGCGTTTTGGGGGATAATAACTACTTGTTGAGTTAGTAACCACATAGGGCCTGAAAATACAGACGAGTGATTCTAATGACCTCTCTTGGTGTTGGTAGTGTGTCGAACTGGGCTAAGAAATTCCTTCCCGTATTTGAAGTCGTTTGAAGTGTTCCCGACCAGGGCTTTAGGAATTCTCACAAGGTAGCTGAGTTATACCAACTGTTCAGAACAGTCCTGGAGCGCCCCTTAGATGAGTCAGTAGTTGCTATAGTGTTTGACAACAAACGGTTGGTTTAGCATATGGTTTGTGTAGGAAGAGGTCATTGACTGAATTAGAAACGGGGAAGGGTAAGCTGGAGGAACTACATGCGTTTCTTGAGAGTATATAAGCTCACTAGACAGGATTGTCAAAGCTGTATAGATGTCTCTGAAATAAACTTATTGGATTTGGTTCGGACCTTGAGGATAGGAATATACTGTGTTGTGGTAGAGTGGAAATTTCTATACACTTGCAGTATGCGCAATCTCAAGAACTAATATTATGTGTGGCAGTCGCAACTCCTTTACTACTGCTATTATCACCCTGAAGTTTTGTATGTAAACTCTCCGGTTAAGTATACTACAGAAGAGGGCTTATGATGCTACTGCACATCTGCAAAAGAAAAATTATGTCTCCGGACTAGCCGCAGCATTTCTAGGTCAATTTAGTATCTTTCCAAAGTTTTTGATATTTTTTTTGGAAAAAATGTTATTGCAGTTGTGAAATTATGTCATTCGTGGACATTTCTGATGAGATTGCGGCGGTGAGGGACCTGATGGTCACGGAGTTCAACAAGCTCAATAGGGAAGTCGCGGGACTTAACACTAAGGTGGCCGCCCTGCATAAACAGCTCCAACACATGGCACTGAGCTCCGACGATAACAACACCAACGACAAGACAGTTCTATATACCTCTAGCGCACTGGATGTCACTACGGCTCAAGGGGAAAACTCGGCGAAATTCTTAACGGGAAGCTCAACTGGGACGCCCGAGAACGACGAGCCGGCTGAAGGTAGTAAAAGTGGCTCTTCGAGGAAGTCCCATCGCCGTGAGGACTCCTTCATGAGCACTGTATCCAATGATGCTGAAGAACTTGCAAGTACGCGGGGTACTCGAGATGGCTTATCTGATGTTGGCCTATAGAGACGCCTATGGAGTCCATACCGTCCTCTGTTCGCAAAGAGCAGCTCACCTCTGTTAAAAAACGTCGTCGCCAAATTGAGGTAGTTATTAAATATAATTTAGTTCAGGTTGTTGAAGTGTCTTAGGTTGAGAGTCCCTATTTGATTGAGACTGATGTAACGGTGGAGTATGGCGGGAAGATACTGTGCGACCTCCACGGAGTTACTACCCTGGGCTTACGCTTCTGGTCACTGTTCCCTATCAGTTTTCCCTGTGGCCTAAAGGCCTCCTTTCGAGCCAACTGCGACAGCAGCTCAAAAGAGTTCCGTGCATACGCGATATAATTGAGGATTCACGCGGCGAGCTCTCGGTCCAAGGCGTGTCTACAAAAGGCGAATCGGTTGATCTTGACGATGTCCTTGAAGCCAATGCTGTTCGGGAGTATGAGCGGCTCGTCGTTAACTTGTGATGTTATCTCCTGTTGCATGAGTACATTGTAGAATTGCTGACTGTTGTAACCAAATCGGTGAATATGAATTTATTAGCTTTTCAGTTCTCATGTTGTTGATAGTCATGCTATACGATGGTCGTATGTCTGTCTCTCTGACGCCGCTTTTCTATCAAGTATTATCGAATGAGCCTAGCGTTTATATGTCAAACAGTTCAGATGACAGAGTCTCGGACTATAAATTATTGATACAGCAACAAGAGTCGACAGCGCAGAATATATTAATCTCAAGGACACTCGAAAGCTATTGCTACTCATTTAAGCGACTTGAAGTGTCTTCCGGTCTGATCTCATCTCTCCGTCCTAAACGAATCGGTAACCAGGCTAACGAGGAAGTAACGTGGTGACACCCACCATGCACCGGTACCAAAGTCAATGATGCAGGAACTACAGCACACCACCACTGGGAGGGCTCTTCTTTGCACCATCTTAAATGATAGCAACAATTCTTCCCACGGTAGATGCTCAGAGATACACCAATGAGGGAATCTCCACTACTCGTGATACGACCATTGTACCAATTCGAGGCACAATATTATCACACAATCGTCCTCTGACGCGACACATGTCACCAACAAGTCCGAACTACGATTAGGAGGGTCAGTTCGATTCCCTAGTGGTAACAAGGAGGCTCAGCAGCAGAACAATTCGGGGTGTACGCATGTGACTGCGAGTCCTCGACGATTAATCTCAATCTGACTGGTTGTTGCCAGAAGTGAAAAACAAATGCCGCATGGATGTGCAAGTCTCAACTTCTCAACGATCAGTATCATTAAACTTTCATGATGACCCAGCAGTGATCATAATTCACGACGACAACGAGAGATGTGCTTCAATCTGTCATTTTATGAGCTCATCGAGTCGCACTTGGTTCGTTGTGGCCATTCTATAGCGGGTTGATTGGAACAGCCTTTTCGCCGTGTTTCGCGGATTTGACGATATACGTAACCGTTGGTCCAATAATCACAACAAGAACGCCTCTTTGTAAGGAAACGTTATGTTACATACAAAGACATACGCCTCTTCCACAAGATCACGTTCCTTCGAAGTACTTAAGTCCGTTAACATCACCAACGAGTAAGTAGTTGGAAATGAGTGGTCCCGGTGCTGGACACAACAGCTGCAACACAGCGTTACTAGTATTCTTATCTCCACCACCAAGCATCAGACCAGCATCACCGTAGGTTACTGATCGTACCCACACGAGGCCAGCCATGTTACCAATGAACACCTGAAAATTCGAGACTATAGCCACAGAGTTCTCCTTCCGTATCATCTTACATCCTCCAGCTTGGGCGCGACTATCACTGCCAACAAGGAGTCTTTCAATTCTGCCGGATCGCCCTTCCACACTTCAACAGCAGGTGGAGTGGCCTGCGTGAGCTTACACAACGTAACAGTCCTCAAAGGAACAGTAACATTGTGAGGATTCAATTCACGCATTGCACCGAAGAAGTAATCCCGAACCTGTTATCAAGGCAGTAATACTGTGATAGAATCACCATTACGAACCCACTACCCTATTAGTATTAAGCCATTGCATTCTAGCAGCATCAGTTGGTACCACACCGCCGGACTTGGGCAAGGACACAACCTCAACCTTGGGCTCCTTGTTGGCCTCCTGGTCCGGTGCTTCCAGCCCGTCCAAGTAGATCATATTAGCCACAGGGTCATTCGCTAACTTCGTCGAGCTAGACCGCAATCGGGCAGCATCACCTGAGGGGACTCCAGTAGACAGCACTCATAATACACCCGACCAACTACCAGCAGCATCGTCACCATAGTGTGAGGCCAGGTCCTGGTACAACTCATTATCATCTAGCACCAATACAATGTCAACCTCGAATGCCGAGATGATAGTCTTCAGCAATTCGGTCGAAGGCTCAGCCGGTGCGTTGATTATCAAACCAGAACGGGCTATGTTCCTGATGGTCACCAAGCCGTTAGGCAACAGCCGAGCACAGCCGCTACTCTACTACTTAGGGCCGCCACTCATTTTCTCTATACCCGAACCAGTACTAGGCTGTACCGCAGCGTGCTTAAGACGAGCCTTCACGGTTTCCGCCAACACCTTGCACCACCAGATATACACTTGCGGATTATCCGTCCAATGCTTATAGCCATAGAAGTACCTATCATAGGGGTCCAGGGAACTTCACATTGGTGTGGTATGTGATACCATAAGCTCCTCCCCAGTCTATTAGACAACTGATCCATCGTTCCGCCCGACTGAACCGCTTCGAATGAGTTCAAATCTTTCGGTGGTTGGCTGATTTTGTACGTGGCGGTGGGCTCCGTATCGAACTCATAGCAACTACTATCCAATATAGTAGCATTCATGGTGCCCGGCAGATGAGGCAGCTCTCGGAAACTGCCAGTGCATCGAGGGTCCAACTCCACGAAAATCGGCCGTCGGTGTTTCCGTAGTGCGAAATTCGCCAGCATATACGCAAGAGTGGATTTCCCACTGGCCGAGGAACCACATACCAACACCTTAGGTGGTGGACACATAGCAGTGCCGAGCTCTGTTGCACGCTTCCGCCTCTGCTCGATGATAGAGGCTACGCTGAAGTAGTGTGGCATAGTAGCATTGGTCGCATCGTATTCTTGAACTGTTGACCCTCGGAGCTCCACACAGCAACCGTGCCATGTGTACACTGCTAGTTGGGAACCAGCTAAAAGGACGAAACGAATAGGCATCGGGGTTTTGAGCAATGACTCGTGATAACGACAATGTGAGAAAATATGTCCATTGCCAACTACATGTGTCGGGGACAATATGAGAACTTGGATAAAATTTTGGGAATTCTTATTGGCTTCTGAACACCTCTACCCTAATACATATAAACTCTTTAAACTGTAGATGGAACTCCTAAGAGCGAGCATATATTCCAACACTAGATGCTGAGATTTCAAGTATCACCCTTCCCCAAACATTACGTCTGATAACATACTCGTTGCCCAGGACCAACTCCTTGCCGAAGATCTCAGCACTCGCGAAAGTGTCCGGCACCTTGGAATGGGCCTTCAGTACCACAGCGCCCTCCTTAGTGGCACCTGGGTCGGTACTTGGCAACGGGGCCAATACCTACAGCAAGTGCACAAAGGGGTCCAAGGGTACGATATTACCAGTCGGAGCTCCGTCCCTGGTCGGAGCTCTTTCGTCCGCTGGAGGCCGATCATTTGTAGATTCTCTTGTTGGATCGACGAGCCAACATGTGTGGGCCCGCTGATCGTCCCACCCTCTCCACCATACCCACCAGTGGTTGCCGCTTGATGCTGCAGGTTGGCCTAAGGGGGACATGTGATTACCTCAATGAGCCCCCGAGGGCAGCATTACCTGGAGGACATGGGGCTGGGCCATTTTGTTGGGGCCGCCCATATGCTTATCGTAATGAGAGCCACCGCCCTTGTTTTGATAGTGGAAGACACTTGCATTAGGGTCGGGCTGCTGAGGGACTCTATCATATGGCCCCGAGTTGCCCTGAAGACCATGGTCCGGGGCCATGTGGGGCTTCGTGTCACGGCCCCCAGGGATGTGCTGTGGGGGATGACCCGAGGGTGGTGGTGGTGGGAAGCCCTTGCCGTACCCCTTGCCTAAGGTAAAGGCTACCTCATTATCACAGCAGAGGTGTATTGACTACCCTTCCCTGACCAACCCTTGCCCTTGCCGAAGAACCCCTTGCCCATGGCCATCATGGCTGCAAAGGCCGCTGGTGGGGGCGGCTGGGGGGCCTGTTGCAAGTTGCGGAATTGATTCAATGCTGCTGCTGTTGCCGAATCGGTCCCCCCTTGAGGAGGAGGAGACCAAGGCGGCGGGGGCCCTCCTCCTTTACCGTTGTAATGTGGTGGGCCTCCGTCTCCTCCTGGAGGCTGGGACCACATTATAACAATAAACTGATGACGATAAAGGTTCAACCCGACGACACTGATAAAGGATCGAGCCCTTCAAGGAGTCCGCCTTATATAAGAATATCGTCCTCCTCATGTGCCACACTACCGGGACTGGGCGAACTTGAATCTTTCATATCTTGAGTACTCTTGCAGTTCCTCAACGCTCGATGATATCTATGGGGTGAGGTTTAGTAGACTGCCTCTCCCTCCTGAGTGCGCTCCCAAGATCGAGTTTTACATGTGATGGCTAATCCTGGGTGGGCTCTTGAAGGTCTATTGAACACGCCGCTAGGTCGGGGCGGAGAACAGATGGCGTCACTTTTTATATCGGGACCTGTCACTATTCTTCCGTCCCTTTTCTTCGCATTCTTGAGGATACGGCTGTCCGATGGGTATGTGCTAAGTGGAGTTCCTGGTGGTAGTATATATGCATGGCCTACTCTCGAGTGAAGGGGCACAGGAGCAGTCGATGGCCGAGGACCCGTAAGCGTGCGAGCCCAAGCCGGTTGGGTAGCCGAGATGTGTAAACTTATCCCCGATGAGATCATCGATAGCCTCGGCAGCTGTTGGAGTGGCGTTGTGGATACCGAAACAGTTCACAGCGCTGGCGGGGACATGGATAACTAAGCAACAGGTAGATGTGCTGTTACTGGGGATCGAACCGGGGACCTCTCGGTGTGACGTGGTTACCTCGGGTTACTCTAGGGTACTGAGTGGGGTCACTTCGGGAGGATGGGGTGTGTCATGTGTACGATCTATTATATGGATAGTTTTCCAACATTAATCGAATTTTTTGAGTTCTAGTTCTTTATTCGTGTTGAAGAGAATCTTTTGCACGCATGCCCAAGGTCATATCTTTGCAGCGTAGTTCACTTTCTCCACGTATTAATGCCGTATTCTGTACTGGTAGCAGGTACGCCAGGTGTAGGCAAAACTACCTTTTCTAAAGAGCTAGCTGCGGCTATGGGTTCGTGTCGGGTTATCGAACTTGGCAAAACAAGTACCTCATTCGTATCTTTGTAGGAAGAACCTAAGATTCTCTTTTCTTAGTTGCGGCTGAGCACCTTTACAGTGAGTGGGATGATGACCATAACTGCAGCATTTTCGACGAAGATGCTGTTGAGGAGCATCTTGAGAGCCTTGGAGTCTTCGGCAAGGAGAATGTCGTGGTCGATTTCCACTCCCCGGATTTCCTCCCATCTGAATGGTAATAGCATGTAGTTGTAGTAGTTTTGGTTTATTGAGGAAACTTACTTCGTATTTGGTAATTATGTTTGAAGTTTAAATGCAACCTCCAAGTAAACGGCAAAGTAGCTGATAATGTGTTGATAGTTGACGCCATAAAGTTGATGGTATCCTTCAACACTTGAATGCGTTCAAACTTCGAACGAAAGTGGTAATTTTTGGGGAGTGAAATATATGGAAATAATCAGTCGGACATACGATGGTCTTTTTTGACTGGGAACTGTGGGGGAATATACTTGTGGTGATTTCAAGCAATATCTACCGAAATTATTTTTTTCGATTTCTTTATGTTGAAGTAGTATTCAAAACTTATACTGTTATTCGAGCTCCCGCTCGGAAATTGGAAAGCTCTTTTTTCAAATTCATCGATCGAGGTTACCTCGGGTCTTCTCTGCCACGGGGCTAAATATCTCTCAGTGGGTTAGGCAGACATTGAAGAGGTTTGTGATGATATGGGGTGCTGTTCCATGGAGTTGAAAGAAAACTGTTGTCGTTGTTGATTGCTAAGGTTCGACCTAGTAGTAGTCTTGCGGTGCTCTACGGAGGCCCTGTGGTCACGTCTAGAGCAACGTCATTATACGGAAGCGAAGATAAAGGAGAATGTGGAGTGCGAAATATTCCAGACGGTATGGTGTTGTGGGGATGGGTTTGAATCTACACGCAATGGTCCCCGGTTCGATTCGTGGTAGAGTCGTTTTGCTTAGATACTTGACGACTGTCGAGAACACTTTGGTGAGGACAAAGTGTTGGAGCTGCAGAGTGTTTCCATAGAAAACATCGCCACCAACGTTCAGAGTGTTTTGGCTAAGATTACCTCTACCGCTACTAAGGCTCATTGAGGGCCTCTGGACAATACCAATTACTGTTCCTTTGCTTGTTGTATTGTACGTAGTTGAAATGCCGTGATCGTCCTTGAGTTCAACAGTTTTGTATCTGCTTGGTTGAAGTAAGCTGTCCTTTTCTCAAATGTCGGAAGCCAACGGATCGTCTATGGCATGCGACGGGCCGGTTGGGCCCTCTCATACTAGCAGCTCGGCGAATGGTAGACGTAGGAGGGGGTATTGGGGAGGAGGGAAGGGCAAGGGCAGGCGGAGCGAAGCGATTCAGGTTTCTCAGAATGATTCGCAGGTTAGCGCTGATGCCAGTTCTGATGGTGTGCCGAGCAAAGGTGGTCGACGAGGGTATTGGGGCAAAGGTTCGGGTCAACGAGGGAAGGGAGAAGGACGGACTTCATCACCAGAGGGAATGGGCGTGGAAAAGAAAAAGAAATCGCGGGCACGTCGCAAGGAGAGGGATCATGACGCTGGGAAGCCAACTGTGGTGACAGGGGACAGCACTGGTGTCACCAAGGGTGGTGGTGAAGTTGGCGGGAAGGGGCATGTCGAATGGGCTCAGAGGAATCGGTTTAAGGGAAGGAGACGTAATGCTAGTTTTAACCCTACTGGTAGTGAGCTGGTGGACGCGTTGTTGCAGCAGTTGGAGGGTAAGGGCCACTATGAATGTATGATATGCATGAACCGAGTTGGAAGAAGGGCGAAGATATGGCAGTGCCGCGATGGGTGTTGGGCCATATTCCATGCTAAGTGCATTGAGCAATGGGCGGCCTCGGCTCACAGTGAGTTTGCAACGTTCAGGTGTCCGGGTTGCCAGAAGGAGCATACGGATGCTCGGGCGATCAGTTGTTATTGTGAAGGAGGGGTAGCTATGTTGGATTCGCATAGTTGTGGACAGCAATGTCAAAGGAAAAGGCCTTGTGGGCATGCGTGCAGGATCATGTGCCATCCTGGACCGTGTCCTCCATGTGAAGTGGTTATAGGGGCAATTGCGTGTCATTGTGGGAAGCGCGTGAAGGAGGGGGTAAAGTGCAATGAGAATATCGAGGGGTGGAGCTGTGGGGAAGTATGTGGCAAGTTGATGAGGCCCTGTGGGGTCCATACGTGTCCGAAGATATGCCATGCTGGTAGCTGTGGCGAATGCGAAGTGACTTCGAAGAATGTATCATGTTATTGTGGAAAGCACAGGGCGGAGGAGATCAAGTGTTCTGCATTGTCGGAGGGCTCTTGGACGTGTGGGGATACGTGTGGAAAGGAGCTGTCATGCAGACACCATAATTGCACTCTACCGTGCCATGCTGGCCCTTGTCCGAGTTGTCCTTACGACCCTAAAGTCATTGGGGCGACGCGATGCGCTTGTGGTAAAACTACTGCGGTTGTTGGGGCGGCCTCGAGGGTCTCGTGCACTGACCCTTTCCCTACGTGTGGGAAGATTTGTGGTAAACCTTTGGCGTGCGGTCATCTGTGCCCGAGAAAATGTCACAACGGTCCATGTGACGATGAGAAGTGCGAGGTTATGGTAGAGCTCACTTGTGTTTGTGGTAAAACAAGAAGACGCATGCCCTGTTGGGAGGCTACGACGATGGACGGCCCTATGAAATGCCATAAGAAATGCAATGCGTTGAAATCGTGTGGAAAACACAGGTGTAACGTCGTGTGCTGCCCTGGGGGAGCCGATGCACATTTCTGTACGCAAATCTGTGGTAAACTTCTGAACTGTGGCAAGCACCACTGCGATTACCCCTGTCATCTCGGGAAGTGTAGACCTTGCGCACGAGTCAGCTATGAAACCCAGTACTGTTATTGTGGACATGCCTCTCGAGATCCTCCCATTCCGTGTGGTACTCCTCCACCGTACTGTGATCGGCCCTGTTCGAAGCCTCGGCCTTGTGGTCATCCCTGTCCCTCGAAGTGCCACTATGGCCCATGCCCTCTGTGCACAGTATTGGTCGACAAGGAGTGTGGTGGTGGTCATGGCGCTATGAGAAGGGTACCTTGCCATGTTACTAACGTTAGTTGTGGGGCTCCCTGTGGGAAGATGCTCCCTTGTGGTCGTCACTGGTGCCAAAGGGTCTGCCATGGTGCTCCCTGTTTGCCTGAGGGGAAGGTGTGTGAACAGAAGTGTCTGAAGCCGAGACCATCTTGTGGACATCCTTGCAATGAGAAGTGCCACGATGGACCGTGTCCGAATACTAAATGCAAGGCAACGGTGACGGTCTCGTGTCCCTGTGGTCGGCGTAGGGAACTACGACCGTGTGGCCTTCTACCGGGGGATGTGAATGCGGTCCCGGAGGAGCTTGAGTGCACTGAAGACTGCGAGAGGGAAATGCGACAAGCGCAATTACGGCTAGCATTCGCATTTGGTGACAACACTGGGTCGGATGAGCACTACTCGGGCGACCTTGTGGCTGTGGCGGAGAGAAACGCTGAGTGGCTAGCCTCTATGGAGAAGCATTTGACTACAGCAGTGGTCCAGCGTCCGGTCTCCATGTCTCTGCCAGAGATTAAGGACCCGGAGCGAAGACAGTTGTTGTTGGATTATGCCCAACAGCACTACAGGCTGGAGTGTGTCGCTGACAGTGACGGGGTGGTCACATTGAGGTGGCTCTCGGGTGCAAGGAGACCACATCCAACACTGAGTGAAGTTATTGCAATGGAGCCTCCGTCGACTCGGTTGCCTTATACGATTGACTTCGACCCGCAGGAGTGTCCGAGAATAGTGGTGGAGACGGGGACCGCCGCTGCGAGCTTACGAGGCGAGATCTACCAGAGATTGCGAAATTGGCTGGGCCAGTTTAGATGTCGGCGAGATGGTCGTAACCTACTGGTTGAGTTTACTTCTGAGAAAGCAGCGCGAGAGGCGTTTAGGCACTTGAAAGCTAAGTTGGGCAGCGACGTGATAAGCCCGTTGAAGCACGCGTACCTTGAGAACGCGTGATGGGTGGAAGAGTCGACTCCTCTGTAGTTTGATCTGTCATTCCTATTCCTACTGTTTCCTGCATTATTACTCATGAGCGTAGTGGTGTTATTGGGACTTGTCTACGTTAGTATAACTGCCAGTTGTGGTGGTGTAGCCAGTAGGAATCAATGGAGTTTCACGACTGTGATATGAAAAGGGCTAGTGAAAAATATATTTGACGACGCATATCGGTTTTTTCCAGAGTATTATATCACTTCACGTAAAACGGGTGAAACTGCAATTACTGTAGGCAGTTTAGAAAAGCGGAAACCGTGGGAATGCCATTTTCTGATCGACTGTCGTGTTTTCTGTTTCTCCCTTGCCCTTGTTTAAGGACAGACTTTAATGGTAGTAGCGACATCGCGTGCTGCCTTGGAGGAAGCGTCTAATGGAAGATCTCTATGGTGGTCGAGGGTCGTTGCTAGTGTGAAGCGATTCAATCGATCTCGTATGGACTATATGCGTCTAGCATGGCCTGTTGAATGGACCATCTTCAAGAAGGGTGCATGGTGAGTTATAGCAAATCACATTCATAGACGAGTTATTCTCTGCTTGGATCGTTGTGCTCGAGAAAATATGATCGTAACATCACTATAAATGATCGTAACATCACTATAAATGATTGTAACATCACTATAAATGATCGTAACATCACTATAAATGATCGTAACATCACTATAAATGATCGTAACATCACTATAAATGATCGTAACATCACTATAAATGATCGTAACATCACTATAAATGATCGTAACATCACTACAAATGGTCACTATGGCTATAGACATCATAATACAACATAAACAATACATCATTATAAATGATTATGGTAATAGCCATGACTTTAAGTGCTACTGAGGATAGAGGTTCTTAGTGGTCGATCGAATGAGGCAGGATGTATTGTGGTGCAGTAGTACTGGTTGTATTGTCAGGTGGGGTATTGTGTTCTTCATTATAACACTTCTGATTCACAACTGGGTTCATAACTGTGTTTATATGCTTGCTGGGCAGTACGGTGTGTAAGTACTTTCTACTGCTGTCGATGGTGTTCAAGGTGCCCTTCAGATACGGTCCGTATGGCCGTCCTGGCAACCCCGTTGTGGACATTCTATTCGAGCTCTTCGGCCCTGAGCCAGCGGAGTGGAGTGTAGGCTAGTTGGCTGTTTGGAATTTCGTGGCGCGTGACGAATCTCGTTGCTTTCAGCCGGCTCCTGGCGATATCATCCTGTATGTTACAGTTCTCATGGGTGTGTTCTATGCCCTACGCCCTTTACTCTTCCCCTTCCCATTCCGTGAGTGGAATAGCTTGGAATAGCTCCCCGATGGTATGTCGTTTGACTCAGGTACGATGAACATTCTATGGCGTTGGACGGTGGTGGCGAGTTTGGCAACTTATGCGAGGCTGGCATCCTTCATATTCACGGTAAGTCCACGGAGGGTACGTCTCCTGGTGGCCTGAGTGGACTGTTGTGGGTTTTAGCACGCGTGTACACGAGTATCTTCCCTCAGATCTTGCCTGGTCCAGCTGAGCATTGCTCCGAAGCAAACTTCAACCCGCCGACAACGGCTGGCGAGATCTTCGCACGTATATTCGTTTCTGGAGGCTGCAGTGACCTCATCTTCTCGGGCCATATGCTCTACGTTATCACTGTTACATGCGCCTTGTGTAAGCCTGTTGTTGGAGGTCCTTGGTTCGATCCCTGGACATGTCAATTTTAGTCCGCTATGCTGAGCACTGGTCCATTAAATACTTTGCATTGGTACTCAACATACTCCAAGGCATTCTCATCATCGCCTCACGTCGACACAACACTGTGGACGTGGTAAGGCCCAACTTCTTCTATTTCCTATTACGTTTTCCTAGGTTGTTGCTGCGTATTCAGTGCCCTGCATCTGGTGTACTTTTGCTTATTTCGTAAGCCTTACACCACCTTCTATCATAAACCAGTGATTCGTTTTCTAGGTTCCTAATGATTTCGAGGTAGAAGTTCCTCCAGAGATCACCGGTCAGTCTCGAAAGGCATCTCCCAGGGCGGAGACAGAGGCCGGTTGCTCTAACGCTACACCAGATTCCCCACCCATCCGAGCTAGTGGTTCGACTGCTGTATCCGATATAGAGCTCGGCTGTGGTGTTCCTAATGTTCCTCTAACAAACTACGCATCATGACAATTTCCTATCACGATTGTGAATTGCATAATGTAAAGGACTCGTAATATTTACAGATTTGTAGCGCTGCCTCTGAATGTAGTTGTAGTAGTGTAAGGTAGTGAATTCCCTACGACAGAGGCACTTGCATCTTGGCGACGTCGCCAGTGTGATGTTAATTTCACAAAAAAATTGTGCTATATGACTCGTGTTGCTCATTACTCTCATTCTTTCTACTTATCGTCCTCGCACAACCCCTTCAATAACAGTATCGTCAGAAGTGTTCTCTTCTGTACGACCTCCCGACGTTCTTGAGTTTATCACCGTCCAACTCTTTGAAATGGAAAGGGGGTGAGTGTGTCAATTGGTTGGAGTTTAATATCAACTATTTTCGGGCGAGCGAGATTAATCCTTCTTCGAGTCAAGATTTTCGGGCGTGCGCTAAATCCTTGAAACGAAGATTCGTTTGAGATCGCCCAGTGAGGTGAGTCCCGCAGGTTCCCTACTTTCTATGCCAAGCTCCTCAGTGCGGTCATTCTTCTTAGCAAGGAAGGCCTACATTCGGGCAGCCTGGCCAGTTGAATTTGCCGTTCTCAAAAAGGGATGGTATGAGCTCTGCTTTGCAAAGGTGAAGATGTTGTTGGTCGCAGGCCGTACATGTTAGGAGGTCTCTTCTCCCTCCTGGTCCACAACTGGGTGCACAACATGGCTTATTACTATGCTGGTATATACCAAGTGTAACGATGTCGTGGTGGTCGTGCTATCGGTATGGTCAATGAGTCAGGTATGGTCCCTATAAAGGCCCCAGCAATAGAATACATGACTTTGGTTTTGAGTGGTTCGGGACGGCATTTGTGGGTTGGTCTGTGAGTCGTGAGAATGCTCTCACTAGGTCGGGATGGTCTTCCTTCTCAGACACCCCCAGGTGACATCGTACTGTACATAACGCTGGCTATAGCGATAGTCTACGCGTTGAGGCCACTTGTCTTCTCGTTCCCCACACGTGGGTTGTGCTAGTCGTGAATGTTCATGATGGCGTTGATGCTCAGGTACATTGAACATTCTATGGCGAGTTTTGACAATGAGCATCTTCACCGTTACGGGTCGGTGTATTTCATTCATTTTTACTGTGAGTTGACTGATCAGCTGCAAAGTTGGGAGATAGGTTCACTGCAGTTGCTACCGAGTTCGGCTCAGCATTGTGCGGAAGATGAGTTTGATCCGCCTAAGAACTGGGGAGAGATATTCACCCATGTGTCTGTGTCTGGCGGCTGCAGTGATCTTATCTATTCGGGCCACATGATGTATGCTATACTTGCTACATGTGCTATATGTAACTTAAGGGAAAGACGATGAGCTTTGACCGTTATGGATGACAATCTTCGTAGCACCTAGCTGTCTGTGGGAATTCCCGGTGTGGGAACTCATTTACTTGGCAAGGGAACTTGTGTACGATTCAGATTAGACTAATGATGGTGTTACAATTTTATTGTATTGTCTCAAATACGGTGCATATTGCGAGACATGGAACTGTCTCGCTCGTCTAGCCGAATTGAAGTACTCATCAGAGTCGTTCAGGGAGGTTCAGACTGTTTTGCGATGTGTATGCGATAGGATTTTTGTCAGTCCGGTACGCCCAGAACTGGTACATTAAAGCAACATGCCTCGCATTGAACATCCTGCAGGGTTTTGTAATCGTTGCATCGAGAGCTCATTATAGTGTGGATGTGGTAGGTTGCACGTGACCTTCTACACATGATGTTGGCCCGCTTCAGATTGTCGCTGCGTACACAATACCGGCGTTTTGGTGCACTTTCGCGTATTTTGTAGGAAAAGTGTTTTTTGGTTTTTTTCCCATCGTGTGTTGTTGTGGTAGGTCCCTGAGGACATAGGTCCGAACGCAGTGCCCATCGAGAAGACCAGTTTGGCGGCTGAGGAGGGGCCGCCTGTCGACCCTGCCCGTTCGGTCGGCGGAGGAGTGCTGGATTTGGAGCTGGGGGCTACAGGAGCGTCATCAGCTGCCTCTCCGGTACAAGCATAGCCGAGGAGGAAACGGTTAAGTTGTATGAATTTATCAAATGTGGGAAGGTCGACCGGTGTGGTCGTTACTTCGTAAACCGAAGTTGTAAGTAGTTTTCTGGTGGCATTGTCAGCGATGGGACTTCATCATATACTATGGTCGGTAGTTCCACGTTGGTTATATAAGGCCGATTCATTTCATTCTAAGGAGGATTCTCGACGAGGTTTTTCTAATGTAGTTGCCGTCGTAAAATTGTCACTATAAGTTGCTATTGAGTTGGGATGCTCGCGATTGGATGAGTTATCGGCCGAAGTGAGCTAGGATATTATTCGTGTTACTGAAGCATGTCACCTCCCGACTTGACACAAGGCTACCGTGATGGGTCAGCTTTAGTGACAGTGGAAGAAGACGCGATTGCTGATTCAAATGTGCTCGGTTTAGGTAAGCTCGAATTGCGTCGCTCCGCTAAGATTTGTTGCATTTTTAGAGTCGTCTGCAGTGGAGGAATCGAAAACCGATTTCCAGGGAGCATCTCGGTCGGCGGCTCCGCGTAGAAGGTCGATGATGGACCGGGTGAAGGCGATGTTGCGAGTTAGAATTGATTACATCAAAGGCGCATGGCCGGCAGAATTGGCTGTGCTGAAAAAGGGAGCTTGGTGGGTCTAGAAGGTGCGTCCGGCCGGGTTGTATTTTTATTTTTAGGTGGGGTATTCTGTGGTTTGTATTAACATTAGTAGTGCATAATTGGGTGCACAATATGGCTTATTACTATGCTGCGAGATATGAAGTGTAAGTGTAGCGGAGCGAAGCAGGATGATGATTTTTTCGTTCAGCTATGGTCCATATAAGGGGCCTGGCAATCCCATTCACGACTTCCCATTCGAATGGCTCGGCAGTGGACTGGTCGATGCTGCGGTAGTGTCACAGATTGTGATTTTGGCTGCGGGTAGATTTAGCCCTCTCAGGTGGCCCCTGGTGACATTACTAATTACTTCAGCTTAATACTGGGAGTCGGCTACGTATTGCGGCCTTTATTCTTCCCATTCCCTCATCGTAAGGGGATATGGGTCTGCTTCGCTCCGCTCATTTTTGTCGTTTTTCAGGGGCTATGAATATGCTGTGGCGATGGGGAGTAGTCGCCAGTTTGGCAACATATGCTCGTCTTGTCACTTTCATGGTTACAGTAAGTCTAGGGCATTGGCGGTTGTGGAGTTAGTGCTGTAGTTACTTCCGGGATCAGCACAGCATTGTGCTGAAAATGAATTCAACCCTCCAAGCGATTGGGGTGTTATTCTAACGCGGCTTTTCACCTCTGGGGGCTGCAGTGATCTGATATTTTCGGGTCATATGATGTATACGATTATTGTTACATGCGGAATATGTAGGAAAAATGCATCATGCGGGTTTTGAACCGACGGTCTTTTCCTCTTCAGTCCGATACAGTAGCAATAAGTACCTCAAGATTTTTGTCCTGTTGCTGACAATCCTTCAAGCCTTCCTCATAGTGGCCTCTCGATCACATTACAGTGTTGATGTGGTAAGCAGTTCACGGTCTGTCCCCCATACATTTGAGTGTCGTTATCCAGGTCGTTGCTGCATATGCGGTACCATGCATGTGGGTTACCTTTGCTCACTTCGTAAGTGTTATTGTCTTGGGTGGTCGTCGTCGTCGGTGGTATAGCTCGTGATTAGGTGCCAAATGACTTCCGAATGACCGATGAGTCAATCTCGTCGCCTGGAGTGTCCGATGGTGAAGATGATGAGGAAGGTGTGGAGGAGTATCCAACAGCAGTGCCATCAAGTGGCACTGGCAAAAGCAGCCGTAGCAGCAGTGAGCATCAGAAGGTGTCGTCAGTCAGTACCAGAGCGTCTCCTGGTGACAGAGATTTGGAACTTGGCGTGTCACCGCCGAGTGGAGGTAATGATGGTTCGAGATTCTTCAGGTTGCGAATGTGTTGTCAGGTTAATGAGCTCCGTTGAGAATATAGTTGATTTCAATTGAGGTCCCAACAATCTCTTTACGCGACGTGTGCCGTATGAATTTTACTTTATTTTATTCTAACATTGAGAAGGATTATGATATACTTCGTAGTCCATCTCCGTAGTAGGGTTGAATTGCGAATACTGTTGACCGATCGCCGTCGGCTTTGAAATCTCTGTAAGATTCCACATTCTAAAATGCGAGGCAGTGCTCACAGTGTGCGGTTGTAAATGATTTCTCGCCGCCCTGCCCTTGACTGTTGAACTTGAGGGCCATGGTTGATACCAATGAGTACGATGATGGTGATGATGCTGCCGTCTATTGCTCGATAATGACTACTTTCACTGGTGTGACGGTATTGATCCTTGATTGATTATAACTATATCGTGTTGTGTTGATATGTAGTATGAGGGGCGGAGCGATGTGCAGTAGTTATCGTGCAGTGTATGCGATGTGAGGAACTCTCATCCTATCGTATTCTTTATCGGGATAGCTTGATGTCCTCTGGAGCATCTACGCTCTGCTCTCGGGTAAGACTTACATGCCACATGCCATGCCGAGGATAAATTTGCGAGGTGTTGTTCTCTTCGTGGAGTGACGACGTGAATGGTTCGGTGTGGTACTGCATTGGTCTGTGGTCATTATATGTGTTGATGCTATTCAAAGCTGTCCGTAGATGGGAATTGTGAAAGGTCACTGAACACATCTTGTAGGCTCCGAGGTGGAGGATTGGTTGCTAGTAGCATACAAAAATATGTACTTGGTCAACTACGGGTGTTGGGGAAAATTCTAGTTTGGGCTTTGTGCGTTTTCACTCAGAATCGTGTGTGAATTTCGGTACTGCATCGAAGAAGCAGACGTGTTTTCCGATGTTGTTGACGGTCATACCAACATGAATGCGCTACGTATGGAAGAGGTGAATTTTATGTGGCGATCAATCAAAGTGTAAAAGGGTTTGGTCGTGTATACGTTCCAATAGTATCCACCGTGAAATTGATTTCGGCAGTCCACTTATCGAAGACTTAAACAGTGGATAAAGTAGTAGTAGCTAGGGTCGAGGGCTTCTGTATCGAATCGGGTTTCGGGCTCTCAGTTCAGACTGGAAGTGCCGTGAGGTGCAGTGAGGGTATCAAAAGTAGCATGCCGATAAGGATGGGAGTTGGCGGACGCTACTGCATTGATTACGGCTTGACGGATGGCTCCTGTCACCAATGACCCTTCGAGTGATCCTTCTCGTATGCTCACCGGTGAGTGGGGGGGGGGGAAGTGATATGTCGGCTAGTCTTGGTATTTGACCATCACTATGTTGATTCGAACCAACGTCATGGGTAAAGGTCGGCTTGGGTCATACCCTCCTGGTCCTGGACTGTTTCTGCCGAGTCGATTGCAGTTGGAAAGACTAGGGTATTCGGGAGGCGTTGAATCGTACTACTCGATGGATATGAGTTGCTTAGTAAGATACACAGCTGAGGCACTCTTACCACATTCTACGACCAGTAAAGGTGGTACGTGGATGTGTGAGTCCTTCGTCAGTTGGTTTTTCTGTTGCTATTCACTGGTCCTGCCTGCCCTTGAGTTGAGTACCTCATCACCATTCTGGGCGGTGTGTATTATCGTCTATGGCGGAGCTTCTACTCTCAGCAGTGGCGGGAGCTTGCACTGTTGGATGCGGAGCTGCAGCGACAGTGGCCTCAGGTGAGGTGTATGGCTCAGGACAGCGCTCTTGTAAGGCGGCTAGCAGGCACCACGTCGGCTCTGATGGCAGGAGGGTCCATCGGTGTAGCGGCAGCGAGCTTGGCAGCCTCAGCTGGCTATACTATGTGGAAGTAAGCCCCGTGTACTCCAGCATTGATGCATCTCATCGGAGCTGATGGGAAGCAGTTGATATCAACTGTGCGTACTGGAGGTAGATATCTTTTCTCGGAAGATGGGAATGACGCGACGTCACGTACGGGCATCGTCGAGCTATACGAGCCCTTGTTGGCTAAGGAAGAGGAGGAGGATCTTCAAGAGGTATACGCCGAGGCACCACTTCGATTCACTCATGAGTGCATTATAGGCCTCGGCTCTGAAAGCCGGAGAGACGAAGACCGATAATTTCTTATAGAATTAAACCGTGACCATGTGCTTTAATGGTATTACTGCACTGAGTTTGAGTGGGTCAATAGTTGGTTAGAACTACTACGTGTTTGAAGTAGTATCATTTATCGTCATTTCAAACAATGCCGACTACCAAAGCACGCAAAAGTACAACTAACCCGGTGGAATCTGTTGAGAAGGGCACCGAAGCTGACACTGGTCTGCACACAGCTCCTACTTCTGCTGCTAGCTCTCCTGTTGCGAAGAAAACAGGGGTAGTGACAAGAAAGGGTGACGACAAGTCAGACAAGGAAAAGGATACCACGAAGCCTGTGGGTGGCAACATTCAGTCCAAAGCTGGAGGATCTTCCCGATACACTGGACGAATTCAGTGGTGAGAACTACACTCCATTTGATGTTGAAGTTTTATGACCCCATTGAAGGGCGGCGGCGCTTTGGGACAATTTCTCATCCTGGATTACGATAAGTAGGTTCTGGGTTAAGCGAGGTCGGGGCATGATATCTTCTACGGAGGTCAAAGGCGACCTGGAAGTTACTAAGGATTCCTTCAAAGACTCTGGAGGGAAGGAGTTCTGGTGGGTCTTTACGTAGGGAATTATAATAGGAGGATATACAAATTGTTGTGTTTTACATGCCGCATCTATGTTACTGACTGGTTTAATCTTCTTTAGGTTCCCAACGGCCGATGATGAGGTTACATTCGATCTGTCTCTGGAAGGTGGTAAATTCGTTCCAACAAACGTCCAAGGTGAGTTGAACGTCTATTTTATATCGACAGTTTGGCCGAGCGGTCTAAGGCGCCAGCTTCAGGCGCTGGTCCGAAAGGGCGCGAGTTCGAATCTCGCAGTTGTTATTTTTTGTATTTTGGTCACGTAGTACCGATTCATTTTTAGTCACGAAGTATCATCATTTCCCTGGAGGTCCAAAAGCGCTTGAGAAGCTCATCGCAGCGTAATCGGGTGATGGGACGGACGAGCGCGCCATCTTCTGTACATGCGTGTAAAACATATTGCCTTCAATAACCATTGATTGCGATCGTTCGTTGAGCATTCTTGGCCGCCGCCGGCCTCAACGGCTGATGAATGTCTTTCAGCGGCAAGATAGCTGCACCTCAAGAAACTACGGAGGCTGTTGCCGAGATCAAAAAAACAAAGGAGACGGCGGTGAAGAAAGGGGAGAAGACTGAGGCGAGTGGGAAGTCTGAGGAGAAGAAGATCTGCGTCATTCCATTGGAAACCCGCAAAGCCTCCGAGTCCCTTACTCACCCAACACGCAAGCTGTCCAAGGATGCCCCAGAGTTTATACCACATTCACAAACATCGCCGAACGGGACATATACCGTGGGTGATGAGAGCGGTCTTGCTCCTGCTGCTACTTCTACTACTAGCACTCCCCTTGGTGGCCATTTGGAAACCGACTACTGGGCTGAGGCCGCGAGGAAGGTGTACGTACGCGTGCTCTACTCTCTTTCCTAGCGTACGTGTCTACTTCATGCTAGGTCTTCTACTTCGTTGCATGTGGCGGCCGACTCGGATTCTCTACCAATAACCTACGCTCAGCTACTACATTTACAGGACTTCTACGAGGCTATCAAACACGCTGAAGCTCTTGTGAGTTTCCAATACAAATATTGTCAGTTCATGACGCCTTTTTTAGAGTCAGAAGAAGGGAGCACCAAAAGAGGCAATGCCCCCAGCAATGTCGCTGACGACTCCCGGGAAGGGGGTGATGGTGTGATTCGAATTCTTATATGTTCGGAAGTTCTGAGAATCTTTTTACTATTTCATTGTCCCCACAACTTCTTCTCGTGCAGTAGATGTATTCCTCATGATGACAGTCAACTCGACTGCACCTTTGTAGTTGATTTACATTGAATACATTCCCGAATGTAATAAAAATGCTCAAACTACCAGTAGATAGAGATTTCTCATGTATGTTGCATACGTATTGCGTTCTTGGATGGTACATCACTTCTTCGCGTTGTTGTCACTACTTACGCAACAATACACCGTAGAGAAACATTAGGCAATACGCTCAGAGACCTCTCCTTTTTCCTCTTCTAATTGAATAACATTCTCAGCCATCATCTCCGCCATTACCAACGCATCCATTTCCGCGTTCATCACCTATCACATAAAACTACCAACCGTACACTTAATGACGACGATGCTGAGAGCAAAGGGAGTACCATGGCGCCCTCTGGACACCATTCACTGGCGTGATAAACGAGCCAATTTAATAGGCTGAATTGCTCTCTTGTGGGCTAGTGTGCAAAATGCTATTATTACTGAGCCGTGTTGTCGACTCATATACCCGATACCCCCTTTCCATTTCCCTTACTTCTTTGTTCAAGTATTTGATATTCTCATCCAAGAGGTCCGTCCGTCTCATATCGGCGGACATTATCTCAGACACCTGATGGGAATTCCCTTTTCCTATCCTCGTGTCACCACGCTTACCACTGTAGTGAACAACTGCTTATCGTCACCCGAGCTGGCCATAACCAGATACTCGTTCATCGCCATGTCCTGAGGCGATGTGAACGAATTACGGTGAGCAAAAGTAGCCTCACCGCTTCCGGAGCATCACTGCTAACACCAGCAAGGACCATCTGTGACTTCTCGAGTTCTGTATTCCACATAATGAGTTGTGATAAGAGTTGGAACCTTAGCACTATCGTGATGTGTAGGAAGTGTGGTATGGTGAGTACCTCTGAGAGACCTGATTTACCATCCCCTCCCATTTCCGCAGTAAATGCTCTGATAACGTTATTCCGGGATGTTCATGCAGGAGGTCCGTTCGAATTCGGTCGACGATATCCCTAGGTCGGAATTCTGCCTAACCTCCAGACCATGACCAGCAACCACATCAGGAGGAAACTCACCAACTTATCTGGCTTGGGAGAGTACCCGCGGTAAAGGACAAACGTTGGTGTGCCTCTTGCTACTGGGCACCTGGGGAACCGGACGGTGTTGTGGGACTGGGAGAGGATCGTTTTACCCCAGGGGAAAATCGTTCTTCTCGATGTTGAGACGCTTAATAGTAATAGGAAGATGTGCACGGCGGAAAGTGTCTTCCAACTGGTTTATGAAGGGCCGCATGAGGAAGCAAAGGAAACAAGAATCCTCATACCTGACATATCCAAGGTCCAACATGGCTAGATACAAAATAGGTCCAAGTTGAGGCCACAAACCCAGCCCTACATTTGCAGTAGTATCGCCATGTCGGGTCTAGCAGCCGCTATAACTCTATCATAGAAGTTCAGAGCGCTGACTTCCTCAACAGGACATTCCTCAGGGAACTTAGGGAGGTCCTCCAAAGGTCGGCACACAGGCTCGAAAAATCTGAATAAATTTTCTTTCACTTCGAAGCAGATACGCCCAGTACTTTTCCATTTCCTCGACGACTTTTTCGGATGATTCCCGTCCCTCCCCGCTCAGCTGCACCTTCTGCCGCCTCTGGCCTTTGTACAGTATGAAATCCAATTTTTGGTCTGCTGAGGCCCCCGGTGCAACCGCATAGTAAAAATGTGTCTGCAACACTCGCATGAGAGAAAAAATTCTCTAATTTCCAACATGACTCACATTTTCGATATTGCTGGTTTTCTCAGCGACCCTTTTGGCAAGAGCGATGTCCCTCAAATCTCGTATGAAGCACCCGAGCTGCAGCAGACGTTCTCGCCGCTGTTGGTCTGAGCTGAATGTCTGAAACAACGTCAAGTAGTGTTGAAATATATGTTGGAATTGCTCGCCTGGTTACATTATGAAAATTCACACACGACTTGAGATGGAAGTGTATAAAAACCAACGAAAATTGCCCAAATTTTCCAAATTATCACCGACACATGTATATCATCTTTTCCCCCGGTACTACCACTAGTATAATATTGTCAGTCGTATCGAACTGCTCATCCTCCATTTTTGGTATCATTTTCCCCACGAATTTGAGCTCATCCCGATCCTTCTTCTCCAGCGTAGTGAACGCCTTATCCCCTGCTTCCGTCAGATGATCATTCGACATGGCCGTCCTGATTTGGTCTATCACGCTCGGGTCGTAGGCTACCAGACCGGCCAGCCCCAGGCCCAGGGCGGCACCTAGAGGCGGAATTTTGTGGCGCGTGACGCTTCCTGATAGTAGTACCGAAGGCTAGAGGGCCTCTCCATTTATGAGGCTGTTGTTCAGGTTGAGTAACAGCTGGTGTGGTACAGAACCGTCGTGGTATGCAGCGATAGGATACGGAAGAGCACCCTCGAGCGGCTGCTGATAGGAGGAGACTACTGTTGGTGGTTAGTAGTGGCGACAACGGCATGAACACTTTACTACTGAAAGCTTCCAAATTGGAGTTATAGACCTCATATACGTTATCCTCATCCACACCGATATCCTCTAGTTTGAGCTATGACAGCATCTCCAGGCCAATTTTTCGCGGATTTTTAGTAATTTTACCACTTCTTTTGAAAAAATACCATTTTTTTATCTTTTACCGACTGATTTTGGCTTATTACCCAAAATTTTGATATAATAGCGTGTCTATTTAAAAACACTAGCAGCTCGCGTCGCTTCGCTCCGGGGAATCTCTAGCTCCTACGGAGGGGGAGGGTGTAGTGCACTACCTTCATGGTTGTAGTATATAGCACAGTAGGAGCCAGATGGGACAGGCCTTATGATACTATTACTACTGACCCTCGCCTTGTGTATTGAAATTAGGATGTCGATACTCCTACGAGTGCTCATCACCAACTGCCACGCGATCTATCTCCAAAATTTCCATTTAAATTTCGCCCCGTGGATCCTTCCTGGTGAATTATGGGTAAGCAACCTACTGTACTCAATTTTCAGAAGATGGGTCCAGGGCGCGCGCTAAGTTCGGGCGTGCGCGGTTGTAAGTGATTAAAAAGTAAAAGTGTTATTATTATGTTGAGGAGGGGATGGAGTCATATGGGGACGTTTCACCTATGGCTCGTACAATCTACCATGTCAAACGTGTATAATTTAGTTTCCACTCAAAAAAAATATGGGGAGCGAAAGGTTGATACTGATGAAGAGGATTAGAATGTTATCCAAATGGGAAGTGCTGGGTATTGAACTCAGGTCGATTATTCTTGTTACTCTAACATGCACATATCTACTTAGTAGTAATATCGCTTTTGTGTGGTGCTATAGTGCCTTAATAATTCCTCCCGATTAGAGTTGGTCGTTTGCATACGTATGGGACACATACCACTCCTCCAGCTACTCGTGATACGGTACACTAGTCTTCATTCTCAAGGCTCTACTAGCGTTACCCGACGGAAGGCATCCCCTTCGGTCCTCGTAGCATCCTAGCAGTCGAGGGCCCATGGGTCATGCACTACTATTGACCCCAGCTGTATTCCGTATGCTCCCAGTCCCCTCCCTCTTCAACAGTGGAGAGTAGTGTTGGGCTCTTGATCGTCCCAGCATAGGATAGCCTTGAATTCTTGTTAGGGTATCGTTACTCTTGTCTGCTTATTATGGCTACGACTGTATCCTCATCATCATCAACAACTTCGGCACATCAGTTCAAGGGTGGTGGTGAAGGGGAGGGCCATGCTGCGGAGCAGGGGAATTATAATATGCGCTTTTTACAGTACCGTAGCTCCCAAAATTCTAGTCGGGTGGGAGCAAATTATCAAGTCGTAGTGCCGCTGGTGTTGCCGACTGAGAAGCAAGAGGAAATAAAACGGCTGAGGAGGGGGGTGGCCAGGCCTGATGAAACGCGGCGAACTCCGGAGTTGACAGCATTAGCAGCGGAACTCGGCGATAGGGTCGTGAAGAGTAGTTGCCCTGGTCCGTTTTTGCAAGTGGATGTTGATACTGTGATGACCGCACTGGAGGCCCGAGGGGGCCCGGAGCCGGCGAGGGTCCCGTCGGAGGGAAGAGATTGGTATGAGGAAAGCATGCTGGTGAGTACAGCGCTGGGAGGACGAACTTTGAGACGGAACCAATGGCAAGTGGCCGAGGTTCGATCCCTGGGTAGGACACTTGAGAGGTTGGAAAAGTGGAATGAGGAGGTGGAGACAGTGCTGGAGCAGGACAGGAGGATAACTATGCAGGAGGCTACGGCGCTGTGGAGTGAGGGCCGAATATTAGAGAGAGTATACGATGGTTTGCATCCTCAGGTCGGTCCCGCAGGGGGAGGGGATAATCTAGGAACCTATAATTTTCCCGGGGAGAAACTCATTTTGAATATTCTACTTTCTGGCTAGGAACACATTGTTCGAATAGTTTCTCGTATGAATGTCATTACATTAGGAAAATCATTTTCCCTAGTGTCGTTATCAAACCCTGGGGGTGTCATTTTTCAAAGCTACTGGAGGGTGGGGGGTATCGAGGCATGTGTCGCTGTTCATTAGGTTGCGGCACTCCATCGTATAATGGGCCCTACAGAGGCGTTCGAGGCTAGGGTAGCTCAGGGGAGGTGGAGGGAGGAGGAGAGGGACCAGTTGGTTAGGGAGGGGGAAGCGCTGGAAGTGATACCGGCTAGTGCACTGAGGTGAGTGACTCTAATGTTGGGAAATATGCGTAGGGTCTGACAGAATGCTAAAATTGGGAAAAATTTTGGGGTTCTGTACATGTGTATCGGAATTTATATGTAGAATTGTATAACAAGTGAGAAAGCTTCTCAACTCAGCTGAAGAAGGTGAACATTTCCTATTCCCATCAGGATTGTCATTTTCGTTGTCATCATCAGGCGCTTATCGATATCGAAATCAGCTGCCGTGGAGGAGGGGGAGTTGGGGGACCCCACGAGCTCCAATGATCCCGAATTGTTAGAGTGGGTGAGAAAAGCGCGGGGAAAAATCGAGTCGGGGAAAAGGAGCCGAATTCCTCTTCACACTGTTGAGGAGCTTCTAGAAGACTTCAAATCTCGGGCATTGGAAGCGGACACTGCAGAGGCCCATCGGCTGCTGGTAGCGTTGGAGGAGGGTAAGGAGGCTGCTACCATGTGGAGAGAGCGTGCGAGTCGGGCATTGGCTGTGGATGAGGGTGGTGGACTAGGTAGTGGGGGAGTTCTCTCACTGGAAGGCCTCCGAGAGCTGTGGGATGAGCATGCTCAGCTGCCTCGGGTATGCGTGCCGGAGGTGTGTCGTAGGTTGGAGTCGTTAATAAAGCGGGGGGAGGCGTGGGAGGAGAGGTGTAGAGGACTGCTGGAGGGTGGCAGTAGTCCTAGGGCGGTGGTAGAGGGTAGGGTAGTGCTGGAGGAAATCGCACAGAGTGGGATCACTAAAGCTGTGGATTTATCCGAATGTTTGAGAAATCTCAAAGTTGCGGTGGAGGTAGCAGAGGAGTGGGAGAGGAAGGCTGAGGCGGCGGTGAAGAATTGGGAGGTTGGTTATACGAGGAAGATTTGCTCGGGTTGTGATCGGTTGTCGATTGATGAACAGGGGCCTAGGACGGGGCTAGGGGAGGGGCCCGCGGGGATCGGCTCGGCTTTTATGGAGAACTTGGTAGAGGAAATACGGTGGGAAGTGGCACTTTACGAAAGGGAAATTGGGGAAAATTTGGATTTTTTGCCGAGTTGTGGGATATTTGTGAAGTTGAGGAAAAGTGGAAAGAGTTGAAATTTCGAGATGAAGTTTTGTATGGGAAGATATGTCGCGTGGCGGCTGAGGTCGATACGTGGGAGAGGAGGAAGAGGTCCCTTATAGAGGACCTGGCTGTGGTAGGTTGGTGGGAGTCTACGACTTTGAAGTTGCTGTTGCTGGCAAGGGGGGAAATTTTAATGTGGTCAAGTACATAATTTTGATGTGGTCAAGTACATGTGTTGGTTAGAATATGAACAATTTATGAGAAAATTTAGGGAAATTCTCATTGATTTTAGTACGCGTATTTGGGTGAGCTGGGGTGAGGGAAGCGAACATATATTTATCTGATTATCAGTTCCCGCGCCCAGCTGGAGGACTTAGAGCCCTCTCCTTCCTATTCATGGATTATATGAGGACCGGCATATGCGGGACAAAGGCGGAGCAGGAGGATCTCGAGGGGCTGTTGGCGGCTATGAAGGAAGAGGTTTGGGGATGGGATGTTAGGAAAGCGGTGGCAGCGGTGAGTTGAGATATCTTGAGCTTGACGTGGTATGATACGGATTAGGTCCCTTTGAGCTCCTCGTCATTGGAAAGACTCAGTGAGAGTTATCCGAAATCGCTGAAGATCTTGCAGAAAAGTGAAGGGCGTGGTAGAGTTTCTCTTGCGGACCTACCCCTGCTAGGAGCAGCTGACTTTGAGCATACGCTAGTGGAGATAGAGAAAGTAGGGACGGGTGTCGAACTGGCACGAAACAGTGGGAAAAACTTCGAGTTTTTCGCACATGGCGATTCATGACCTATTCGTTCTTAGTGAGAAACAGAGAGAATGTTTTCCTCGGATGTCGTGCAGTGTATATACTCCATGTGTGCGGGTGAGTATGCTAATGTGAAGTTTGGCATTGGAAGGTTGAAGTTGTGATGTGGCTGACCACGGTGATGTAGTGTCGTAATGAATGACAACACGTGTGACAACAATTGTGAATTTAGTATATCGTGTGAATGTGAACATGAACTGTATAATGTGATTTTCTCGCTCGCCCTCATATATACCTCCCAAGTTAGGAATATGACCGGTCCACTTTAGTGTATAACACTTCATCACAACATGTGAGTCTTGTTGGAGTTTTCGACTGAGACTCTACTTAGCTTACGTGGAATGCTGGGTTTCCATACTTGCCAAGGAGGAGACACCTTCACATGTATCATTGTTTAAATTAGTGTAAACTCCTTATTGTTCCTATCACAATACCTAATACTACATCTCTAGAGATGTTATTATTAATACACTGTGGAGTCTCACCCGTTTTACGTGAAGTGGCGTATTGCTCGGTGATGAAAACGCGATATTCGCGGTGGTATGCAGTAGTCGTGAAATATGGTTCTAACTGCTGTTTTTCATATCACGGTCGTGACTCTCCTATGCATACGTTACTATATCACCAAGAAAAGAGTATAACAGACCTGTAGTGATGATAGTAGTGGAATCTTCACCGATAGTACTCGAGTGTATCCCGTTCGGTTTGAGCTGCATGCCACGTGTAGGTGTGTACTTTTCTGATGGAGTCGTTGCCGATATGGGAGGAGGAGTGGCAAGTGACAAGTTCGGTGATAGGGAACGGCGAGAAGAAGTTGGAGGAATCTCCCAACCCGAGCTTGGCTGAAGCCGTGGTGGAGTATACACCGTATCGGGTGAGGGACTCGACTGTTGAGGGGGAGTGGGATTTCATATCCACCTTGGCCGACGTGGAAGCGGCCTGTCGGAGTCTGTTGGAGTAAGCCGAAGGTCCCGGGTTCAATTCCTGGTGAGGTCTTTTTTATTCAGGATATCTCAGCCGATTGACATTTCTGGCTGGCAGCATTTGAGTCGAGTCTTACGAGAGATCGACAGTAACTTGGTGCAAGTTCCAGAGCTTCTCGCGAGGGTTGACGAAATTGTCGCTGAGAATTATGAGTTGGAAAGGCGGACCTTGCAGTTGGTGCGGGAATTGGAGAAAAGTAGAGAGGATGTGAAGGAAGAAGAGACGGAGGAGTCACCAAAGGAAGAAGTCGAAACGAAGAAGCGGAAGGCCGCTGAGGGGCTAGAAGGGTTGTCGCTGTTTGGCCAGCTCTTGAGTCTTCTGGAGGCAGTCGACCGGTCTAGGTCTCGCATTGAGGCGTTTGAAAAGTGACGGTGGTGTGGTATGATGTGTAGTTTGTTATTATTGTTGTTTGTAGCTCGCTGAGATCGTTAGTGAACACCTTATTAGAGTGGCAGAGGAGGGCTCGAGAGCTCTTCCATTGGGATGACAAGGAGAAGCGTATGGAGGGTTATGAAAAGCCCTCGTTGGAAGCCGTAGGGTGACGAGTCAATCAGTGGTGATGATGATGATCATGTTCGTAGGTCCGCCGTTATGTCGAGGAGCTGGAGGCGGACCCGGTTCTTAAGGGTTTCGCAAATAGAGTCTTCCTAATGCAGGTGAGATTTTCAATGTTGCCGACTTGCTTGTGGGTGACATTAATTATAATCGATTGCTTGGGCGCGCGCTATTTGCAACACTGAGTATTTGTTGTACAGGTCGGGTTTATCTCGGGAGCTATTGGTGCGGAGGAGGCGGCGAAGGAGTGGCAAGTGGAGCTCGGCGACCTTCTCGCGAAGAAGGAGGAGGCCGATTCAGAAGCGCATTTTTCACTGGCAGCACTTCGAAAGATGATGACGCAGTTGGAAGGCTTTGACGTGGCAGTACCGGTGGACGTGGAATTTACGAGAGCTGCCGCGGAGGCGGACCAGTGGTATTCATTTTATCTGAGCCGACGGTCTAGGAAGAAGTAAAATTGTGGTATGTGTAATAGGTTATTTTGAGACTCTAATGTTAGGAAGATTTCCCTGCAAAGTGCTGAAGAGGTCATTCGGGCGGCCGCGATAGAAGATGCGCAGTTTGCAAAATGTCGCGAGCTCATTGCGGCGTCGGAGGAGTGGCGGTCTCTGTCGCGGCATATTGCCGAGACTAAAGAGAATTGGCAAAAGTCTATGGCGGCTATAGTCGATAGTTATACGAAGAGGATCATCGCTGGCAGTCCTGGCAGAAATAATGAGGGAGAAAATGGTGGGACCGGGGATCGAACCGGGGTCTGTTGGTCATAGTGCATCACTCAGGCACGGAAACGGTTGAGGACCATCTCCGTTCTCTATTGGCTGAGTCGAAGAAGCTGCCAGTGCAAGGGGGAGCCGACACGTGGTTGTCACGAGAGCTGCGTGCTAGGTCGGACAACGAGAAATTGTCGGAGGCCTTGACTGATCCTGAATGCACTTTGGAGAGGGCAAGACAGATTTGCCTCTCGGTCGATGCTCCCTCTACTAGAGTTTTGAAGTCCCCGGGAGTAGGTGCTGTCGGTGGTGTGGTATGGTTAGCGTTGGAATATACGTTTGGTTTACTCGCTGACGAGCTCAGGAGTTTCGATTTGAAGATTTACACACGACTTGGGGTGAAGTCTTCAAGAAAACGAAAATATCTCACATTTTCCTCGAGTTTTCCTATTTTGTTGACAACACATGTAGTTGAAAATATGCGTGTTTTGCCATACTGCTTTTACTTTTGTTTCAGTCCGAAGAAAGCTTCACGGAGGGCCCTGCGGAGTGCCCACCTGAGCTCAGGCATGCGGCCTTCACTTGCGATGGGCATCTACTATCTGAGTTGGAGAGAGCAGTGGAGGAGGCCGCCACACTAGAGGGACAGGTAGGGTCATAAGTTGCTCTGTGGTTGGCAGCGGTTCGGCCATCAGATTCACCGATATTTGGAGCACACTAGTGAAGTGGCGGAAAACGAGGATGCTGTTGTTGACGAGGATGTCAACAGTGTCATTGAGCTGGCAGTTCGAGAGGCTATAGTTAGCGGCAGAGTCCACCCCGGCGCTGATGGTGTTCCGGACTATGCGTATCCACTACCGCTGTATTATCCATCGAAGAAGCATGCGAGAAGGAGCAAAGCACTCGAGTTACTCTCAACGGAGACCCCATCTGAATCGTTGCCGTACTCAATGCGCATCTTGGATTTGGTCCCATGGGACGCCCCGAGAGTGTCGAGGGTTGAGCCTCCGGTGGAAGTGGAAATTAGGAAGAGACGGCGGGTTGGTATCTTTGTTGCACGCATGCGCATTGTGGATATTTTGTGTCTCTTGAGATACTCGCTACGATGACTGCAGAGCAAAGGAGAACTGAGAAGGAGACGTTGATGAGGAGATTGCAGAATCCTAAGCCTACAGGTGAGCGCGAGCATGTGACAGTTAATAGTGGACATATGGAGTTCTCAGTGTCGGATTGTATAGCACTGCTGGCGTGGAGTAGGCGGCTGCGATTGAAGGTGCCCGACGTGAAGAAGATCTATAAAGTGTTGGTTTATACGATGAGGAGTGTTCGGGCTATTCTGAGGAGGTTTAAAGTCCTTCGGCCGTCTTCTGTCAAGGGTTGGTTGCCTGGTGGGGAGTTTGTGGTTTGAAGGTGTTTCAGGCGCGAGTTCGGCTGATTGCGAGCCATGGGAAACGCGTCTGAATATGGAGGTCCAATCAGGAGTTGTTGAAGGAGCTACCGCGGATGATGATGAACAGACTAAGCCGTTGGTGATGGTCACAGTGGACGACTTACTGGTAGGAAAAATGACATCTGTGGGAATCGAACCAGGGATCTTTTGGTTTGTTCAGGAAGTTCTGTTGAAGATCGACCGTTTGCCTCTGGCGCTTGTGATCGAGTACAGAGTGGTTACAATCATCGAAGCGGCCTTCGACTGGCGAGTCCGAGCACAATGCCTCGTACACAATTTGGGTCTCGATAGGACCAGACCTAGGCCTTGGGTCGGCGACCGGCGAACTTTGGTAAGAAGGTCTTCGACATTGTTTATTGAATGGAGGCAGGTATTTTCAGTGTTGGAATATATGAGCGCTTTCTCCAGCTGATCTCAGAAGTTTATATACGAACTTGGGTAGAAGTGGATAGAAATCAACGAAAATTTCCCGAAATTTCCTCAGAATTTCCATATTGTCACCAACACATGTAGTTGACCGTGCGCATATTTTCTCACACTGCGTGTTTTTGTGGGATATTCTTAGTCTTTTTTGTACTTCATCAAATCGACAATGTTGTTAGGAATACTGGGCAACCCACAATTTGAGATGCACCGACATTTTCGAGCACCCCGAGCGTGTGCCTGATGCTCCTTTGTTACCACGTGCTTGCGATAATCCGGTCCTGGCACCACCGGTGGAGGACTATATTCGCAATACTATGCAGATGAGGTTCTTTTACATAGTCGAATGCTGCCGTCACTTCTCAACGGTGAGCTTGTTACGATCGGAGTGTGTTGTGAACGGGTGCTTTTACAGGTGTACACAGACATGTGTGAAATCTGTAATGTTGTGACGACTCTCTACACTGACACTGACGCATGGATCACTTGCGATGTGTGCGATAAGTGGTATCACCAGAAATGTGCTGGTGTGTCACCAGACGCGACCAGCTTTACATGTCCGACCTGCTCGAACGGGACTATAGCGGCTGCAGGATCGGGTAACACAAAATAGTTGTCTTTGCATTATAGTGTTTATTCAGATTTGTCACTGCAGCCGGGATTCGCAATAATACGTCAAACCTACGACGAATCCCTACAGCCACCTCTCGATGCTTTTTCATTTGAAGAGCGTGATGTCTTGGCACGTACCATCAAACAACGGCAACGAATCGGCCGCTTCTAGTCATCATTACGTTACATTGTGTATCATTCAACGTCATTTCCTGAACACTCTTAGTTTTGTGCTGTGAGAGTATCCACAGTGACATGCGTCGACCTAGAAATCCCAGTCGGCACAAGCCGCTTGAACTGGGAGATGATGACGCAGCGAGGCCCTCCTGCATTCTCTAGGCGTAACGCGGCGACTATAATTCATCACATTTCCGTCTCATCGTCATTCTTGGGTAATTCGTCTACTAAAGAAGATACTAATTAACCTCGTTGTAATCACCCTGGTGTAACCATCGTTCTGAGTATAGCATGCTTCTGCATCAAATCGTATAAGAATGTATATAGCTATACCGCTGCATACAAGTCAGTTACTGGGAGGCATGATCCCCGTATTGCAGCAACAGTGCCTCAGTCGCACCATGCATTCAGGTCCTTCGATCACAAGAACATTCGACAACTCCGAATTTCGCTCCGGTGCCTTCATTGATGCATGACGCTCCTGAGTGTACTGACGTATCAGTGACAACGTGAGTTGAAGGAGCAAGAGGTTGCTCGAGAGAAGTATCATCTCAGACCGACGCGGCATGTAACATACCAGTCGCCCGACCAAAATAATCGATGTAGGGGCGAGCCTCACATACTCCTGAACTGGTTCTTTGTGGTCCTCACAGTTACGATCCGCAGTTGCCCATCTGAAGTGGGCTAGGTCAGCATCAGAAGGAGTACTTCAAAGCTACGGCTTGGATGTTACCTGTTCGAGCCCCAGTTTTGATTACAATTCTACCCGATTTACTAGCCCAACACTTTTTCATGAATTCTTGAAAAGCATGCTAGCTAACACTACGACTCGTAATCAACGAGTTACTCTAGATGATGCGATTGACGCGTGAATGATGAAGATATACGTGCGATTCAGCTCAGAATCAGCAGGTTGTAACTCATTAGAATTTGCGTGAATGATGCAACATAGGCTTGCCGTCCCAACACCCTCGCCCGGTGAGTTACGTCGAAGTAGTAGTGACCGTAACTGTAGTGGGAAGAGCAGTACTGGCCACTGTAGTAGCAGGAGCAATAGAACCC